GGTTGGGTTCATGCTGAGTCGGTGGATCACCCTCGGGGAGCTTAGGATAATTCACACTACTCAAGCGTAATGACTATGATCATAATTCTGCATGAATATACTTTTGTTATGGTTCCAATAAAAGTCCCAAGTCTTTGTTTTGCTCTTTTCAGGATGAACTAATCCAAGTTAGAATGTAGTATCCATTTTCCTCTTTATAGAACAGTTTATCCTGTCCAGGTTTACATCACTGACTCCACGCAATGGAGATTTAGACAAAACGATTATTTTTGGCCAAAGTTGATCTTTTAATTATTCCAATAAAATCAGAATAAAGAACAAACTGAAAACAAAGACTGACGTGCGTAGGCACAAAACGCAATGCTTTTTATTTGGTCAGCGCGGGTAGCTGGCACACGCGGAAACCCTTCACCAAGCTTAAAATCAAACCAGATTGAGAGCTCCACATTTGAATGGCACCTACACATGGAAATTTCCGTGTACGTGGAATGGAATATGCACTCTCTTCCTGAAAGAACACACCCTGCTTAATTTTGGAAAGTATTATTCTCAGGTTGGTGAGAGCCAAGGCCTGGGGACTCGCAGAGTGCGCTTTGCGGTAATGCTAGAATTTAACCAGCTAGAACCACATCGTTCCCTGCTCCCAATGACCAGTTTGCCCTTCCACGTCCTGCTTTTATCCTCAATAGGAATCAAGTTTTATCAATGTTAAGCCACCTTAGAGATGATCAAAAACTGAATCCAAAGAAGCCTTCAAAAAGCACTGTTCTGCAAAATCGCCTTTTTTTAAAGTGTTCTCCACAGTTCTCCCTTCATATACAATGTTATATAGCCCAAGCACTAGCCTACCCTGAACTTGCTCTTTCCTCTTCTAGTCTTTATCCTTCTCTGCCAACACTCTCCCTTCCCCAGCAACCAGAGAACAGAGCAAACATTAAGACACTAACAATCAAGCACTGCTCTACTTAGCTGATCATTGTCCTGGTTCCCTGTAGTGTTCCCATTGTATGCATTTCCAGGTTCTACAGACCGTGCCCAGGAGAAAGCAAAGTAATGTTGTCACCCAAGTGACATCGTCACAATTGGATTCACAGTCCAGGGTGACACTCTGGTGTACTAATGGGGCAGTTTGTACTGTCAGTGCCATCGTTCACGTCAGATATTAACCAGAATCCTTCAATTCTATTCAAAAAAGAAGGGAGTTTCTCTCAGCATCTTGGCCAACAAGCTTCATCTCCTAGCTGTTTTATGGGGCATTTCAATTGTAAATTGGTAGCCAGGTTCACCTACAAATAAACATTCACTGCAATTTTGTGAAATACTTTTGAGGCATTTTGAAAAAATTATGAGTGACCAAAACTGCGACATTTTGCTTTTTGGTCTGATTAAAGGATTATTACTTGTTTATTTCACTGTATGTACCTTGTTCGCACAAGCCTACATCATTATTTTATATAATACTTGCATTTAATATAACACTTTCTATGGTCAGGAGGATATCTCGAAGCACTTCACTTACTGTGAAGTTTAGTGTATTTTTAAGCAAATGCCACTGTAGGTGGGTGATACTTCCAATTTTTTTCCCCTTCTTCCTCTCCGTGAGACATTTGACCCCTTCCTTACTGGGAGAACCCTGCATTGTAAGCTCACTTATTTTGCTGAAAATGATTCCTGGAAACAAAGAGGTCGTGTAAAAACAGAGGATTTAAATGCGCCTCTTAAATCCCTCTTGTTTGGCACCACATTTCGAGTGGAACTGCTATATAAACGTGGTGTAGATAGATTGAAGAATTAAATTGTAGACTTCATTGGGAGTACAAATTTATGATGGTGCAGCATAAAAATTGAATAGAAGCACTGTTCATATGGTTGGTTGTGTAATTGTTTGGCATCAATCTTGATACTGTTAAGTGAAATTTGAAGCCATTTCTTAGATTTAAATGATGTTAATTACTGTATCGTAAAACAAATCAGTGGGTTGTTCTCCATCCAAATCCTTGGTGCATTCAAATTTTTAAATTCAACATTTATACTGCGTTTTTTTTAGGAGCAACATATAACAATAGGATACAGTGCCTTTCACTTAGGGAAATGTCTTGCAGAGTGAACAGAAACAGTGCTGGACACTGAGCAGGAGGAGTAGGAGAATGGGGAGGAAAGAGGTACAATAGGAGTGATTGAAAAGGCAGGGTTTCAAGCAGCTTTTAAAGACCAGTAATAATAATAGGCCTTGAATTTAATATGGCACCTTATCACTTTGTCTTAAAGTAGTTCAGAGAATTAACGTAAAGGGTAGTGACAATTTGTTGGTGAATGCGGCAGTCAATTTGCACACAGCAGTGTCCCACAAACAGCTATGCAGTGACTGACCAATTTTGTCTGGATTGTTTTTCAGGACATAGAGAGGCTGAGGAATTTATGGGGGAATTCAAAGCCTTTGAAGACTATATATAAAGCAACATATTTTATATTATACACTTAATATCTGCAGCGTTTGCCCAGAGTTGCACAATCACTCCACTTCACAGAAACTTTGTAAAGCACTTTCAGACATTCTCAGCATTATAATGATCCTTGCACGAGATATTGCGCCTTATCACATCATTGAGATGTCCCAAAGCGCTTCACAGGATATACTGTAAAGTGATGAAACTGTGTGTATTTTATGGGTTATTATTGGCACTAACTCGCATGCGAGTATTATTATCATAATAAGATAGAACTATGAGGCTAAAGGCATATTTTTTTTCCATTAAATAAGGCTGAAGTAACAACAGTCTGAGACACTGCTCCTACCAAGAGCTGAGGATTTAAAAGGATAAATAAATGTAATCCCTTTCTACAAACTTAAGATCAGACCAAAAAATTATGGGATTTTATACATTATCTGATCTATCTTGTCTCAGTTTAATAATAGTGGGAATAATATTGGTTATCTTCCTTACTTACATTCTTTTTCCCTTTCTCTTACGTACTGTCCAACTCTTAAGATGTAATACAATTCCAAAAAAAGTGTAGATGGTCTGGTAACATTTAAGAAAGCCACTTAAGTTAATAGAACCTTGGCTGCTCTTATAGTTCAGATAGAATCCATGATGCTGCCACATCCAACAAGCTTGGCCCTTTTTGACTTTTGTTGAATAGTAACTAATAACGTGGACATAGATCCTTAAAGACAGATGGTGTGTGGGTGGTATGGCAGATGTGCAGTATGCCATTAGGAACTGGTAAAGAAATAAAAGCAACTGGAAGTAAAAGGCACTCATTAGAAAGAATGTAGGAGATGATGTTAAATAGAACAATACTTAAGAATCCAGATTTCCAAGTGTCCTTGAAACTTACTTAATTTTCTGGCAACTACCGATTGGATCATTGTACTTGTACTTACTTTTTAAGATGTTGCTCTGTATATAGAAATTTATAGCGTTCAGCCCATTGAGTCTGCACTGGATCTCAGAGCAAGTTGCATTTTCAAACCCATTATCCTGCCCTATCCCTATGTTTCTCTACCTCTTCCCTCTTCAAAGCCACAACAGACTCTGCCTTTACCACTTTACTTGGCAGGGCATTCAACATCTGAACAACTTTCTGAGTGAGAAAACATCTCCCAGCATTTCTCCCATCCTTTTCGACAACCCCCCAATCTTAACAACAACAACAAAATTACATTTGTAAAGCACCTTTCACATTAGGAGGACGGCCTGAGGTGCTGAACAGTCAGGGATGAGTTAATATATGTGACATCAGAATTGTGACATCTATTAGGTATTGTCACATTTCACTCTTAAAATCTGTGCTGAAAAGTCTGTTAAAGGTACTCAGCGTTCTCTCGTTGGATGAAATTTGATGCTATTTCCAAAAATAATAATAATCCTTGCATTTGATATAGCGCTTTTCGTGTCTTCTAGACGTCTCAAAGTGCTTCACAGAATATACTGTAAAGTGAATTGACTGTATTTGTGGGTGAAATGCGGCAGCCAATTGTGCACAGCAGAGTCCCACAAACAGTTGTGGATTGAAGTGATCAATTTATTATTGTTTTGTTTTTTGGAGGGATTATTATTAGGTGTGTGGAGTGAGGAAACTTGCCCAATGTTTCGCCCTACCGGGAATCGAACCCAGGTCTCTCGCTTGAGAGGCGAGTGCTCTGACCACTGAGCTTCAAGACTCCAATGCATTCTAATGAGGGATTGAAGGTTAAACATATTTCTGAATATCATTGAATGATCATTAAGGGATTAAAGCATTCTTCCAGATCCTTTCGGGCATGTTCAGAAAGGCAAGTACACAATGACGACAACTTAAGATTACAGATGAAGTTCTTAATACTCATTTTTAATGCTGATATAAATTAAATATAACAAATGCACAACACTATGGCTAAAGATAGTAGAGGTGGGGATTTGACATACAGCCTCGTGAGAAGCCCAAGCATTTGGCAAAATGAATATGTACCATTCTACCAACATAGTACTATCTACTAACATTGCTGCAATTTGAAGGATTGTTTTCAGTTCAACAACAACTTGCATTTATATTAGTGCTCTTCGTGTAGGGCAATGTCTCACAGAGCACTTCACGGGGTCAGGATAGACACCAAGCAAGGGAGAGGGGGAGAGGGAAGAGAAGGAGGGGGGGGAAAGGGAGGTCAACATGCTACCTTTAAACAACTGATAGCAAAACAACCAGGCAATTCCCACAACAATCACGTCTGCTTGTACGGTGCACAGGATAACTTCCAAACAACAAGGCCATGCTAACAAACAGCATCTGCACGATGATCTTGATAAAATTTCTTTTCAACAGCCTTCGGCTTATATTATGTAGCTCAGATGACACTTTCCATCCATATACTCTTGGTTAAGTCATCTGAGAATCTGGATAGTCATTCTTGGCAATCACTACTTGAAACAACTAACTTTCAAGTAAAACAGAAAATAGCCCAAACGGAAAGAGAATACATTTTTAAAAGAATTTATATATGTATTAAAAAAACTTACCATGATCAGTTAACACTTCCTTATCCAGTGCAGTGGTAGCCGTCAATTTTTCCACAACATCAACTGGTTTCTGCTCTTCCTCTGTGTCTGGCTGTGCTGGGAAAGAAGCTATAGTTGTTGGAATGGTGGAAAATGTTGAAGCTTCTACAGCCTTTTGATCTCCTGCTGGAGGAGAGTCTGGAGATGCTGCAGCCGAGTCTGGAGATGCTGCAGCCGAGTCTGGAGATGCTACAGCCTTTGACGTGACCCCGATAGGAGAGACAGCAGCAGAAGGTTTAAAGACTGGTGTTACTCTGGTCGGCGACATTGTGAAATATTCGTGATCGATGTCCAGTTGGGACAGACTGCCTGTCATATCGATGTCTGAGACACCAGGAAGCAGGGTACTCGATTCACCAATAATTACAGTCTCTTCCACTGGAGTCTCACCAGGATCATTTTCAATAATAAGTGGTAATATATCTGTTACTGAAGATTTTGGTTTGACTGTTGTTTTTACTTCAGTGTCTTTGATGGATGCACTTGTACCAGGTCTTGTTTTGGCAGAGGCAGCTGTTGTTGTTGGGAATAATTTGATTGCTTTTGTGGTTACCTCCATTACCTCCACTCCAGTGACGGAGGCTGTGGTTCTAACCTTGGTGTCTGTTTCAGAGCCTGCTGTGCTCAGTTCCTTTGTGCCTGTTGTTTCCTCTGGAGTACCTGATCCTTCTATCTCTTCTGCTGTTACAGATGAGGAGGTAACAGTTGATTCAACCAGGGAATGAACTATCTTTTGTGGCGATGTAGAGGTTTTGGCAATTATCTCAGGAACTATTTCGGCAGTATCCTTCTCAATCTCATCTGGGGTGGAGTCTTCAACAGGTATGTAAATTTCACTCACAGGCACTGAGGTAACCTCATGTGGATGGTGAGATATTGTCTTCTCTGAGGTGGAGTCTATTACCGGAATGTGACTGACGATCACAGGCATTGAAGTGACCTCTTGCACTGAAACAGGATGGTGAGATACTGCTTTAGATGACTCAGTCACAAATCTTTTAGAAATAGTTGATATTTCTGGGGTACTTGAATGTGATTCAATGTCCTGGCCAATCGCACTACCTTCTTCGCTTGCTGATTCTGGTTGAATCTTTTCTGCAGTACTAATGTCTAGCTCTTCTTGAATACCTGCAACTGTGGAATTTACAATAGGCAATAATGTGCTTGGTAAAACAGTCACAGCGGACTCAGCTTTCGTTTCCTCAGAATATGTTGGTACTGGTCGTACTGGGTGAATTTTATCCCCAGGTACAAATCTAGGTTCTGATGTTTCTTGTGGAGTTATCACTGTTGTATAATGACTCTCGCGTTTTGCTTCTTCTGGTTCTTGCACTGTTGTAGTTATGTGATGTATTTTCTTTTCTACCTCTATCTGTGGTGACAGAGTCTCAAATCTTATCATATGATCAGATCCAGAGGTGTGGACTGCTCGACTTTCCTCAGCAGCTTGTGTTAGGACGCTAACCGACTCTGGTGTAGCCGAAACTGTGGACTGGCCCTGCGGCAATTGACTTATCATATCCACGTTCCCATCTGATTCAAGAGTAAAAACATCTGGTTGTTCTTGAGTGCTTGTAATGGTAATAGTCTGCGACACACCATGCTCTTTCACTGATTCCTCTGTGATGCCACTTGTAGATTCTATACTCACTTCCTCGACTGTGGGTTGATGGCTTACAAAATGCAGGTGGCCACTAGGTTTATGGTCATATTCTGTTGGCCTATCATCACCAGAAGCATTTACAACCTCTGTGTGACTTGAGACCGTCTGAACTTCTGGAAAGAAGAGACCTTCAGCTTCTTTAGGTTCGAGTCCACTGGCCTCATCCACATCAGTCTCATGAGCAACTTTCTCTATCAAAGCTTCAGAAGATAATCCAGTCGAATCTGTAGATTCCACTGTCTTACCAGTATGAGTTGGCTCAGCAAATGCATGAATCAGCCCTGTTTGATTAGCTACTAATTCTTTCTTCATTAGATCGTCAGAAAAATATTTTGATGGGATTACTCTTGCAGCATGACTTTCTGGAGTGGTAACTGTTTGCTCGAACTGCGTGGACTGGACAACGGAGCTTTGAGATTCCAAAGTAATGACTTGAACTGTTGACTTTTCAATAACTTTAGCTGAATCAGCGAAGACAACCTCAGTGTTCGCATCTTCAGAATCTCCTTGGGATGTTACTTCTGGTAGAATCAATGAAGTAGATGGTCCTTCATCTTCAAAAGATTGTTCTTGCCCGTCTTCTTTTTCATCACTTGACAACATAATGCTAGAAGATCCTTCAGCTTCATCAGTGCTCGATTGCGTAGACAAAGAGGCCATCGGTCTTAATGTTGAATAAACTGATGGCTCATCAGTCATTGTTCTCATAGTTCTTGAGGCTAATAATATGCTATCTTTAGTTGCAGACACAGTTATGGGTGGTGTAGTTTCTGGTACAATGCTTATAGGTACAACTTTTATAATATGACTGGCGTCTTCGATACTCGTGGCTTCCGTTCCAGTGATGTCAGAAGCAGGTTCAGCTGTACTCAGTGAATGCGTCACTACCTCTTTCTTGCTGTCCTGGTCTTTCCTTGTTCTATTACTATGGTCCTCAGATGTAGTAGAAGCTAAAACTGTTTTTCTGTCACGTTCTGTAGTTACTGAATCATTTGACATGAATGGCAGCAATGTGGATTTCTTTTCATCTCTGGATTCTTCTGGTTCTGCCTGTTGTGTTACAGCAGTTTTATTTAAACTGCTGGCTGGAACATCACTAGCATACAGTACCGTTATTTTCTCAATCTGCTTATCAGTTACCTCCTCTGGGCTTTCTGTCCCTTCTTGAGATGTGGGAACGCTACCAAGATGTGTGTCTTGTGGTAAAGCAGGTTTATCTGTGATCGAGGTTGGCACAACCTCAATTGGTACAAATGTTTGGACACTTTCACTCTGACTTCCTACAATTGTTGTACTGACAGTGCTGGTGTCTAAAGGTGCCTTTGCACTGACAGTGGTTTCTGCAATGGATATGTTTTCTTTTACATCCTGTGGACCAACAGTCTGACCGTCTTTTTCTACGCCTGCAGTTATCACAGTGCGGGTGATCACAGATATTTCCAGCTTGTCATCCACTGGCATTTTTCCAGTTGTCACTTCTTCAATCAATGTTTCTAAACTGGGTTGAATTATTTTACCATCGTAAAATTCTTTTTCAAAATCAGCTTGACCAGTTGGTGGCATTGAGCTGGTCTCCACTACCGGATATTCAGTATGCAGGCTAACATCTTCATCTTGACTTTTAATTTCGTGTTCAGCAGGCGCAGCAGCCACAGTATGGTTTTGAACATCTTGTCTGAGTGATGGTTCAAATAAGGCAGGGGAGACAACAGTAAGTGTTGGAGTGGGCTCAGTATCTGGGAAGACACTTATCTGATCTTTTTCATGAAGACGTTCTGATTTAGGACTACTGCTCTGGCCATAACCTCTATCAGTAGGTGTGGAAGACAGATTCATAGCGAGTTCTCTGGAAATTTCATGAACTTTGACTTCTGAGACCTGGGGCATCAATGGCGGAGGTACCTTTACCCGCTTGCCTAAGAATAAAAGAAGTTTGGGAGATATTAAAAACCTATACTGCATTGGCTCCTATATTGTTTCTTACACAACCATAAAAATAAAATTATTTATTTTAAATATATGAATAATATAAAAACTAAAATTACATCATAAACATTTAAAATTATAATTAAAAAAAGTTTATTTCACAATAACAATAAAACTAGCTTTAAATTAAGCTCTAAAGCAAATTCTTGGAACCAACTCTTGGAATCAATCCTAACTAAACATCTCTAGAGAAAAATAAGGATTGCATTCAAGTGACAATGTTTTGCAGGGAGGGATAAGAACTGGAAGAGTACAATGGTGAAATTGCATTAACTCAATTCTGCCTTTTGCCCTTAGTTGCTGGCTCTGTGATTGGAAAGAACCAAGGACATAAAGTGCAGGTCAATGCAGCATGTACACAAACCAATCGCTTGCAATTCCTAACAATCATCAGTAACAGCAAAAGGTCTTCAAAAAGGAAATGGCTTGACTCCATAGGCAATCTTTATTTACTGCCTTTTAGGGTAAACTTGTGACATTTCATAACAGATTTGATGTGATAGAATCTATTTCTGAAATGACACAAATGCACCCTCCAAAATAAGTACAAAATGCCTTCTGAAAGTTCAATCCTAACTGCAGTGTATTAATATTCCGAGCTGCTTAACAGACACATGGGCTGTTAAGCACAGACTTATCAGAACTGAAACTCCGGTGCAACACTTATGGGAACACTTAAACCAAGATCATGATCGTCTGTTCAGGTGGTTGTTAAAGAAGGGAGTTTCCCTCGCCAATAATCCTCCAGAAAAATTAGTCACTTCATGGCTATTTGCGAGACCTGGCTGGGTGAAAATTGGTTGCTTTGTTTGCCAGCAACTACACAGTCACTACACTTTATAGGAATTCCTTGAAGCATTTCAACATTGTAAGCGCTATATGAAATGTAAGGCTTATTATAATTTCTATTAACAAACCCTATCGTCAAACCTAGTTCTAATGGGAAACACAAAGAAAAGTCTATATAATTATACTTATGATCCTCGTAAAGATAATTGAAAGTTAACTTTACTTCACATCATGCTCACAATGTCTTTTGTTTTGCTTTAACAGTTGTGGGTTATTGTAGTTTCAATTATGTTTTCAGCTTATACAGCACAAAGAGAAGTAACTTTGATATTAATGCTATTATTACAATGTGCAAAAAAAAATTCAAATCAATTGTATGGGAACATTTACTTGGTGCTAATAATTCGTTTTTTACGAGTTCTTTAAAAAGTACATGAAAGTGAGAGTTGGCTTCATTCCTTTTGTATCTGAACTTGCCATTTCCTGACTCTTTAGACTGTTTCCAAAAATACCAATATAGGCAGACAAAGCTGCTTTCGGCAGACACTTGCTCAAAAACAGTAATAAGTCAAACGTAAACATTCATCCTGAATATAAGATACTTTTAAGAAACACCCCTGTATTATAGCATTGTATATTTTCATGTTACATTTTGTGTGACATTATAAGTAGCTGCTAATTTGAGACAGTTGTTCTTTATTTTTACCAACAATCTATGCCAGGAGTGTGAATAACACTGAACTGCAGGAAGAGGTATGTTTCCAGCTAGGATAACCGCAGCCTCAGCAGGACTATAATAGCTATATGTGCCACTAATACAGATGAGTTATTGTTATAGCAGAAAAATGAAAAGAGCTATTGTAGATTTGTGGTGAATCATTTGAAGCTTGTTTTTCTCACTTCAATAAATAACACTAATTATACGAATAGCTCTAAAATAGTCCGTGCATGTCTAACTGAGCATATAACTGCCTTGCATCAAAATTGCAGATATTGTGTTTATAGGTTGCATTCTGAGGTTCTGCCATAGATCTATCCCTACCGCCCAGTTGCTCACTCCACTCACGAACCTGCTTAATGCTTTATTCATACAGGGGGGAAAAAAATCAATACTTGATCTCCCCTCTCAAAAATGGTTTTTGGAATAGCCAGGTGTCTCACACAATTCAACACCCATCATCATGCTTAAGAGTGTATCCAAATCAAACTGAGAATTCCATGCATCCCATCTACACATGGAAATTCCAAAGATATTTTTTGGAACAGAGTGTGAAACCTGCTTATCTAATTCCAGAGAATATCAGGCGCAAAAAACAAAACACAGAATACTGCAGATGCTGGAAATCTGAAACAAAATCAGAGAGAGCTGGGAAAACTCAGCAGGTCAGGCAGCATCTATGGAGAAAGTGAATCAACGTTTCGGGTCCACAACCCTTCGTCAGTATTAGGCGCAGGTTGGCAAGAGCCAATCTTGGGGAACCCAAAGTGGACATTGGGGTCTCCAAGCTAAAATCACATAGCTTGCCAATGAAAAATCTGCCTGGCAAGCTTTCCCACAGTTTGTCCAGCTAGGACCACTGTACCAGTTAAGGCTTTGGCTTGCAGCGTTAACCGGAGCTACATGGAAAGAGCCCTGCCCTCAATGATTGGTTTACCCTACCAAGTCCTGCCATAAGCCAGGCTGGTAGGGCTGTTAACTGCAGTGCCCTGGAACATTGAGGACTTGCCTGGCTCAGGAACTGGACAATTGAGATCCCCACAGAGGATGTGCTTGATTCTGACATTCTGTTGAAAACATGTCACCTTGGAGCCAGTTTAGCTCCAAGGAGACCCTGTTACCTCCCACCAAGGAGTCCTGTAGCTCAGAGGTTAGAGCACTCGCTTTGCAAGTGAGACACCTGGGTTCAATTCCAGGCAGGGCGAAACCTTGGGTAAGTTTCCTTACTCCACACGCCTAATAATAATCCTTCCAAAAAAANCAATAATAAATTGGTCATTTTCAATCTACGACTGTTTGTGGGACATTGCTGTGCGGTATTGGCTGCCGCTTTTCGCCCGCAAATATACGGTCAATTCACTTTACAATCTATTCTGTGAAGCGCTTTGAGGCATCGTGAAGATATGAAAAGCACTATATCAAATGCAAGGATTATTATTATTATTAGGAGTATAGACCCTCCCAAAACAAATGAAAATAAAATAACAAAACCACAGCTATGAAGACGACGTAACATCTTATCACCCAATTGTCTGAAGTAAAGGGAAAATCCTGTAACTTCTGACACCAGTTCAGCCAGACAATACAAGACAAATTTACATTTCAATAGTATCTTTCACATTAGGGGGACATCCCAAAGCACTTAATAATATTGTGCTTGGCAACTGAGCTGAGGTTGGAGAGGAGAAAGATGACTAAAAGTGCAGTCAAAGAGGCATATCTTGAGATGGAGTTGAGGGAGACAGACAAAAAAGTCACCTCCAGTGGCTCCTTGCCTTCAATAACAAAGGCTAAAAATCAAAACCATGTTTTAAATCTAAATCGCTAGTCTCTAGGTTAGGATTGCTGTACTATAGCCAACAGAAACAGTCTATTGAGATGGGATCCCAACCCTTTTTCAAGCTACCATTGAAATATAATTACATTTTTCACACTGGTTAAAGCACATTGCACTGAAATTACATCAGTAACAATGTCCCGCAGTTTTCTTTTACTTGTTAGGTCAAAAGACGTTTTACAGCTATTCTCTCATTGTTCCAGCATTACTTTGGTAAATGAAACCTTAAGTGCTGTGAGCTTACCAAGATTTATGGAACTCAACTAATAGCTTGAAGTCAGGAACAGAATCAAATATTTTGAATATTTCACTGCACAATTCCTGCATAAAAGAGCTATTTAAAAATAGAAAGAAATAGGTTCCAAATATTTTACTGATGAAATTACTGAACCTTTTTGTTCTGTTTACTTCCATATTTACTTTTGCCTTAATATTGAAAAACTGTTTATACAAGGGATGAATGTTACATTTGCAAACCATTGAATGAACAAGTTTCAAATCATTAGTGGAAGACTATATACATCATTGATTCTTATATTTTTCTTACATTTCTTACATCCTTTTATAATCTACTTTGTTGCGATAAGAATCCTGTGATGGTCCTTTCTATAATCTGAATAAGTTAGGCTAATGCAAGGAGGTGCCACGAAGATATCTGCCTGGTGGTTTGAATCAAGTAAATGGAAGACAGAATCACTAAGAGGCACAGAAACCGAATGAGAGGAGTTTCAACATTGGCAGGCTTAACGCAAAAAGACCATACAGAGCCGGAGTGTGGGAATGTTTAGTAATGTGTGCAGTGCACAGCTGTAAAGTGCAGGCTTGCTATGGTGATGACAGAGAACAGTGTATTCTGTAGGGTCTTTGCTAATCTGCACTTAGGCCACGTAAGTAGGTTTTTTCAATGTGCTGTAATAGGCCAACCTCCAGCGATTGCCGTTAACTTCCAGCTACAGCTGTTTTTTATTATTTAAAGATCTTCCCCTCACCCTCTATTATGTCCTCAGCAGTATCTTGCTGCAGTAGTCAATGATGTAAGAGCTGAGACAGATTTTCCCAATAAAAACCTTGAGTCTATTAACTTCCCACAACCAATTATCTCACCAACATCTGTTTACATGAAAAGCCTTTTTGTATTTCTTAAGCTATATATTAATCAAACTGCGAGGTAGAGACAACTCAGAATAGTATTTAGAAATTTATACCAGTCTTGTTAAGGGCCGTGATGGTTGATGTGCTCATGCTTTTTCCATAAGTCACAACTATACTTAAAAATTGGCATTTTTCACCAATTCAGTAAGAAAGCAACACATGAAGTTCTGCCTTGTTTAGAAGCAATGGATTTAGCCTCAGAGTCCCACATGCACAAATCTCGATCAAATCTTATTTGAAGGCAGGAGGAAAGCAAGGTCTGCTGCTGTATTTGAGAAAAGGAGGAAAGTATGTGTATTTACAAACAGTTTAAAAATGTGGTCTCACAACTGTGGTTTGATCCCCTGGCCAGTGAGTTAGTCATCACATTTGGCCTCAATGCACTTGGGACAGGGAGGAAAAATCAGCAGGACCAACTCCTGTTGGAAAGTGCACATGTATGGACATCAAGTGAGAACAGCATCGGAGCTGGGTCTGATATCTCCAATGGTTGCAATGTTTGGAAACACACACTGTCTAGTTTCAGAAATGATGAATGATCACTTGGAACTGTACCAGCATGAGTCAGCGTCTTCTGGATCAGCGTGGAGAAAATTAGTGCAGAGTAGATTTTGTTTTAAAAAAGAAAAGTATAGGAGGTCCTGGTTAGTCATCTTACAGTGACTTTGAGCATTTTACCAGTCATTGGTAAAGGGGCTGAGTTGATGTAACATGGAAAGACGAAAGTACAGTACCACCCTTTCTCAGCTGCCACTTCTTTTATTTAAAAAAATAAAATGTTAAAAAAAATATTCATACAGTTGAACCTCATAATTCAGGCAGCAGTCAGTTCAATTCCACAGGGGACACATTGGAAAGTGACATCATTCTGAGTAACAGGAAGAACATGTGTTTCACAGACTTAGGTCAGTTCTGTGGTACCTGGCTGGTTGAAAGGGTTCATTGACAATTCGCTTTTATGTTCCAACTTAACAAACGCTAACCTTGCATGAAAGCAGATCAACCGTTTATATTTACGACCATAATCAGTAAAAAAAAATGACTTACATTCTCTCTTTTTAAATAAAAGTAGCCAAAGCTGGAAAAATAGCACTCAGCAAAACATTGAAACAACAGTCACAGCATTTCCCATACTAACTGAAGTTCAACAACAACTTGCTTTTATGTAGTGCTCTTCATGTACGATAACGTCTTGGAACACTTTACAGGGATGGGATCAGATATTCAGCAGGGAAGAGGGGAAGGGAATGGTGACTATAGGCACAGTAGAAGTGGTAGGTTTTGAGGTGGGACTCAAAGACAGCCTGCTCAAATGGCATGATTATAATAATAATCCTTGCATTTGGCATAGCGCCTTATCACGTCTTTGAGACATCTCAAAGCGCTTCACAAAATATACTCTGAAGTGAATTGATGGCATATTTTGTGATATGATGATACATTTCAAGATGTATTTTACGCTGAGAGCATCGTGTGCTTCCAAATGAACTTCAATAAAGTTTTGACCAACACTTTTTCATGAAGAAGTTGCCCCTTAAAAAGCAACTTTGTTTTAATTTGCCTGATGAAGATGGCTTAATGCAACCCAACACAATACACCCAATCTTAGACATCCACAACTGTAATGTCCAGGACATTTTCAGTACCATTGGCACCCTAATTCTATGTACTAACAGAATCAGAAATAACATCATCTGGAAAGGTATTTGCATCATTTTGTTCCCAATGTGTTAATCCTCAGAGTGAAGATTGATCAGAAATGTCTGAATTGTCTTATTATGAGTCATTTTCTGCAAAGGAATTATTTTTGTTCAAGATGTTAGCACTCTTGACAACGCACTTTCATATTGTAAACTACTTCTTTCAAACACCCTGGAGATCTAAGGCTGAGTCACAAGGATTCATGCATACTGTTGTAGCAGTATAGAAATATAAAGACTGAAAAAAGCGTGCTCACACAGTGGGTGAGTTTAAGAATGCCATTGAGATCAAACTCTGCACCATGTGAACTCCCGCCATGGCTGGACACACAATCATTGCCCGTAATGGGGTCTAATATGAGATATTCATGTAAAGGTTGATTTGAATCTCCTCAGGCATTCTGAATGCTGAGAAAATGCAAAAGAACAACTGTGGAATAATATGGATCAATGGTCGTGGGATGACAGTATTTCCATTGACCTCTTCCCCCCATGTTTTAATAGCTTTCTTCCTTTTATTCTCTCTCACCTAAAAAAAATGTTGCTTTAAATTTTAAGGAAATTGTCTTAAAGGTCAGAATAAGGCCATAAGGATTTTTTTNCAAGATAATAGGGTAGCTTCAGACTTTTTGGTCACCGTGTATATAATAATAATTTAATTAATTTATAATAATATAATGATATATTATATATATTTATATATAACAGAAAAGTCAGCTTTCAGTGTTAAATAATCTGATGAGGATTCTAACGTGAATCTGATAGAGAAAAGCAGGAGAGACAATGCGGGAAGCAAAGGTGGCATAGTGGAGCAAGAGAGAAAAAGAGAGGGAAAAGGAAGATCCAAGATAGTGAGAGAAGAAAATATATAAAAGCTGTGAAAAATGAGAGGGTAGGAGACAGGGCACAGGGGTTCTTCCTAATCGGCTCCTCTTAACTCCACAAGCCAAAGCTTTAATAGCTTGTAGACCGACCTCTCAATGGCAGGCTATGTGGTATTAGTACCCCAACTCACACCGTGAAGTCCCTAGTTCTTTGGCTCTCGCCAATCTGCTCTCTGGAAATAGGTAAGCAGGTTGGGTCCCTCCATGGAGAGTGCATATTCCATTCCAAATACAGGGAAATTTTCATGTAAGATGGCATGCATACATGGAACTCTCAGACTGGTTTAGATACCCTTAACCATAGTGTTTTTTTAATATGTTAAACATGCTGGCCGATTAAAATAATAAGTGTAGTAGTTGAGGTATGTGTCAGAGAGAGACAGAGAGAGAGAGAGGGGTGTGTGTGTGAGGGGGGGTGGGGACAGGAGAGGAGAGGTAGGAGGAAATTTGAAAAGGAGAAGGGAGGGAAAGAGGTAGTATATTAAGATGATGTGTAATTAAACTAGTTGCAGTTCTTGGTATTTTTAGTTGGGTGTGGAACAAATCATTTGACTCTGTATAAAAAAAAATCTATATTATCTAATTTCATTTCTCCCACCTGTTGCCCTGAGAGACTTGGATATTACATCTACTGAATACCCTTTCAATGATTTGTACAAGTTACCTCGAAAGCAGTAGGCATCAAACTTTGTGAAGGGATGAGGAAATCCAGTTCTGTTGTTGTATAGGTACTTGGTCCTCACTCCGAGCAGGCCGCCTCCACACTGAGTCCTGGCATAGACTATGGGGTATCGCACGCTGCCATCTGCCAGCCAGCCATAGTCACAGCGATCCAGCCCTTCCTTCCAAGCAGCGTGGAGCTGGCCAGTGGTGGCTAACTGAGCACCCTTGTTCTGACACTCTTGGTGAGCTTCCACAAACGTCAGCTTTCCTGGCACTGTGATGTGGAACACCTCCCCTGTTGGCAAACAGCAAAGAAGATCAGTTTGATTTGTTACCATAGAATGTTACAGCACAGGAGAACAATAAGTCCATCGTACTTGTGTCTGTTTACTGTAAGAGCTTTAGTCCCACTCTCCTACTCGATCCCCATACTCTTTCACATTTTCTTTATCAAATTTTTGTATAATTCTCTTGTACAATTCTCGTGGATTCGGCTTCAACCACCAGTTTTGGAAATGCATTTAATGTTCCTAATAACCCTAATGACACTCCAAATGCTTGAAAAATTCTGTCTTTTGAGATAATGATATATAATAATCTTTGCATTTCACCCACAAATTACAGTCAATCCGCTTTACAGTATGACATGATTATAATGCAACGCTTATTATAATCCTTGCATTTGATATAGTGCCTTATCACATCTTTGCGATGTCTTGAAGCACTTCACAGAATATACTGTAAGGTGAATTGACTGTATATTTGTGGGAGAAACGCAACAGCCAATTGCGCACAACAGTGCCCCACAAAGAGTCATAGACTGAGTGACCAAATTATTATTTATTTCTTTTTTTAAGGGATTATTACACCCGGAACAGTGATCCGGCAATCGATTAACAACCGGGTTCCTATTTACTGCTAGGTAAACAGAGGCATGTGGAGTAAGGAAACTTGCCCAATGTTTCGCCCCACCCAGGAATCGAGCCCAGGTCATCTTGTTTGCAAGGCGAGTGCTCTAACCACTAAGCTAACAGGGCTCCACTTTAAAAATTATTATTTTTATCATTATTATTATTAGCCTTATCACATACACTATAAGGTTGAAAGGTGCAATATCAAATACAAGGATTATTATTTATTTATCAGATATGAGCTGGGACAGTAAGTATTATAAGGCTAGTCGACTTGATAAAGAGCATCTCAGCCAAGCCTGATTCTGCCTGCACACATCCAAGCAAATATAGTTTCAAGCTGGGGAGCAATGTGTGAAAATTAGAAATTTGCTACTGAGGACAACTGTAGAACCCCCCCAAACTACTGTTCTAACTGAGACAAGCTCCCCCAGTCCAGACATGGCATTAAACAGAGATCATCCAGGTCTGTGTCGCTCACTTCCACACCAGGACCCAAAATAAAAAAATACTTGAATGTCCCACCTATTGGTTTTACTTATTGCACATGCTGAAGTATCCATTTTGTTCAATTAGCACGGATGTGCCGCCTTGCAGTAAGTGAACCCTTTTTATTTGAGGTCAGTTTCCTTTCAGCTTGTAACAAACAAACTTGGAATGTGTGGGAGGACAGACAATAAGGTTTGTGGCTGTATTGACAGTGAGTGGTACATAAACAAGTGAGTGACATATCGACAGTTGAGCGTCCCGTAGACAGTGAGCGGTGCATAGGATCCAATAAATAACAACTTTGATGGGAGATACATCCCAACTACATTAATGCTTGTCCCCAGTGATACTGTGACATGAAGAGACAAAAGAGGCGAATCAAATGCCCCTGACCCGCTCTCGTCTTTGCAGATCAACCTGCTCCGTTCCTGAAATCCTGCCAATAACTTTCAACATCGACACTCAAAAACTAAAAAAACTACCAATACAATAGTTTTAACAATACCAACAAAGGAGAAGGAAGATGAGATCCTGCTAACACCAGTCCTGGGAACCATCAGAGGTAAAATCCTGCCCTTTTGTCTTCATTATTTGCTTCTCCAATGTTTGTTTTTTCACTCTTGGCAACTGCTCCCCATCAAACCTACTTCCTCCAAGTTCATCCGAGGGTTCCACAGGGGAAGGGGTAACCTTTTAGGAGATTATGCTGAACCCACACGCTTTTGTTTTTTGTCCAGTGGGTAAAACCCCTCCCTCTGTGAGCCTCTCCTCATAGAGGTAAGGCCAGAACATAAGAATGTACTAGCTGAAAGGACCAAGGTCCATCTAGTTCGCCTTCCACCATCCTGGCAGTCACTTGACATGCATCCCAAACTATATCCTGAGATATTATTTTCAAAACCAGGACTATGATTAATTATGATGATTAACTCTGTAGCCTGGCTGGTTAGACCATCTTAAGGAGGTGGATTTGCCTTAACATTGATTCACACCACTGCAGGTGGTTCATCCTCCGTGCGTAAATGATTCTTTGAAAGTTTTGAGGCCTTTTCAGGAACAAATTTCTAATGATATTAAAGAACCATTAATTCAAAGCACTGTTAGGTATGGGTTAGTGGGGCTCTGTGCATTCACTTCATTGTAAATGTAAAGCATCAAGCAAGAGTTATGTAGCAGGTGATAGGTATATCTATACAAGTATCAGACCGTCTGGGGCTAACTTCAGCTCCTCTGAAGGACAAACACTTCATTGCTTGTGTTATTGAGTTCCCCTAGAATATACTTGTGGACCATGCTACTTATCCAAAGTATTCTACGAGCATTGTAACAAAATCTGTGTTAAAATAACACTTTATTTAGGGTAGAGAAGATGTAACGGAAATTCACTAGGTTGATACCACGGGTGAGATGTTTTATGTATGAGGAAAGCTTGGATAAACTAGGGCTGCATTTGGCAGCTCAAAAATTATAAGGTTGGACGCCACAGTATCCTTGCGGGTATTCAGGCAGGTGGGAGTGAACTGATCCATCTCTTTCCATTTAAATTAGATGTTCAAATAAAGCAGCTCAGTCGGCAATTCAAAAGCAGCAAAGCACCTGACCTTATTTGTTTGAGAACTCACTTGCTGTTATCAACGGGAGAGCTCATGGGTTTGCAAGTTATTCAATGAACCTTGCCTTAATTCATGTAGCAAAGGATTGTTTTTGAACACTTAAAAGTTTTACATGGGAGGGGGAATTGTTTGAGGAAAGGATTTTTAAACAAAAGCAAAAAAGTAGAATATTGCACTTTTTCCAGTTTACCTGAAGGCGATAAGTTGAACGTATTGAATCTCTGAGCATCGGAAAGAAAAAGAATTGTTGTGTATTTTACAGTTGTTAACTAGCACTGCCCTGTTCCCCCATTCTCTGTTATCCCAAACTAAACAGAATTTTACATTTATTTTAACAGCAAAACAAAGCTCTTTGTGAAATTAATCACAATCCTCGGTCTGTCTGCCTTACTAAGCTAATACAGGAGTGGAAACAGAAACCATGACAACTCTGGTTTAAATGGCCTGCTAACAATGAGCCACGTTGACTCTGGCCGAGAGAACCCCTTTCTTACCAAGCTGTGTATTCTATCTTACAATCAACCAGCAAACCAGCAAAAGAATCTCAAGAATTTACTTCCAGTGTACATTTCCCAACACTTTACACAGGAATTACTGGTAAGAATTTCTGGCTAGGAGTAAGAAAGAAAGATTGCACATTTTTGTTCGAACCTTATCGCTCTGCTTTACAGTAGTGCCTGTCAAGTCCAGTGACTTGTTTGTAGGCAAATATAGGAGCCATTTTGCACACAGCAAAGTCCCACAAAAAGCCATGAGGTGAATAACCAATTAATCTGTTGGCCAGGACACTGGAAGAAACTCTCTCGTCTTTTTGAATAGTGTCATTGGATTTTTAATGTCCCCCTGAAAACCAGGTAGACAGTAATTTGGTTTAACCGTCTTTTAAAAGAGCTCCTGGGAGGCAAAACTGGTAACTCATCTCAGTCAGGCCAGCAGCGAATGTGCTACAATTATCCTCAATGTTCCTGGCCTAGCGAAGGGACTGCTCACTGCCCAATGATCTTTGCTGGAAAGTATGTATGCAGGAGCACTGGGTGAGAACTGCATTGGATTTGGATATGTTGCCCCCCCCGTCCCCCAATCAAAAAGCCTGTAATAAGCACTCACTCAAAAGGATGGCCACTTTGAGTGTAAGTGTTTCCAGCATGAATTGGGAGACTTCAGGGAAAAAGAGAAGTAAAAGGGCCGGGGTTTGGGGAATAAATAAAATCAGAAATTCCAAATTCAAATAAGCTTCTGGCTGAGTATCAAAAATTATTGAAGAATTTCAAAGATACGATCTTCAAACTACAGCTCCTGGTGTGGATGAAAATCTCCTCAACAATAGTTTTCTCAACAAAATTGCAGTGTATAGTACTTGCAGTCCATTGCCGTATTGCTAGTGTCATTGCAATTGTACCTCAGGCTATAGTACCCCATTGACATAATCACTTAGGCTTTCTTTCAGAGGGATCACAATGACCTTTAATTCCCTTCCTCCCCCACCTTAGCTTAATGGTTTATTTAAAGCAGAAAAGATCAGAGGTTGTCCCAAGGAGCCAATAATATTACTCTCTGGAAGGGAGTTTGAAAAATGCAAGCTTTTGTTTGGTAGTTTTTATATATAGATTAAGGAAGGTTTTAAGGACTAACAGAGAGGGGGGGGGCGGGGCAAGTAAGTCAAAAGAGAAAATATTAAAGTGAGCTAGATGGAGTGAGCTGCATCTTTTTATTGTGACCCCAGCGTTTCCTACATACTGCAACAATAAAACAATAGAATGAATTTAGGAATATTGAAATTTTGACCCTTTCCTGATCTAGATTAGATCTCCAGTCCAAAAAATTAATCGGTCAGGGTTCCCACTCCTGATCACTATCCAGAAACTACTGCAGGAAGTGACGTGTGTGAATCATAATAATCCTTGCATTTGATATAGTGCTTTATCATGTTGCCAAGACATCTCAAAGAGCTTCAGATTAACTATTGTAAAGCATATTGACTGTGTATTTGTAGGTGAACATGGTAGCCAATTTGCACACAGCAATGCCCCACAAACAGTCGTAAAGTGAATGATCAATTTTATCTGGGAGATTATTAGCCAGGACACCACGAGAAATTCCCTTCTCTTTTTGGATAATGCCATGGGATCTTGAACAAGTAGATGGGACCCTCGGGTTAATGTCTCATCCAAAGGATGGCCCTGTAACAAAAAACTATTCAAAACACCCACCACTGCATTGGAGACTATGTGATTCCAAGTCCCGACATGGGTCTTGAACCCATAACCTTCTGACTCAGGAGAGTGAGTAAGAGGAAAATTAAGTTTTTTTTTAGGCGGTGATAATAATGGGAAAAAAGTGATAAGAATTTTAACAAAAACACAGGTTTCCTTAATGGCAAATTTTAGCTAATTCATGAAAATAACTGTAGATGTGAGTAATCCCACCGGATATCTGCATTCTGATCATTTGCTTCTGTAAATAAAAGCTTCACATTTGTGAGGCACTGACGATTCCCCAACAAGGAGGTGAAGAAGGAATGTTGCTACATTCTTTATGGTTGAAATAAGAAGATGAATAAACCAAAAGAGACGTTGCGGCTTGTAAATGGCTCCTTGACAGGACCAGTGAAAAGAATTCCCTCCTGCTGCACAAGCTTTAATGAGTACATGAAAGACAGTGTGCGTTTCCAATTCAAAGAGAATTGCACTCTCTTCCCCTATTCCCATAATCTGCTGCAAGGCTTCATTTTAACCAAATGAGTGTACCCATCATTAGTTATAATTTGCAATCAAATGCTTTTGCCTGCAGTGATCACAAGTTAATTCAATGGCTCAGATGCTGGTTTTGATTTACATTCAGCTTGATACAATCAAATGCTTGATTCCAAATGACAAACTGAATGTGATTCTGCGAAATCAGCATTTTGAAAAGGATGAGTGGGTTAAAATCAATGTCTGTCTATTGAATATCTAATGCACCAGCTCAATCAATAACGCTCTTTCCTGCACTGAAATGAGATCTAAAACAAGCGATTTGGATGCATAAACAGCAAACACTGATCATCACCAAATAAGACATCAATATGCAGCAGTTCTCATTTCGTTTCTCTTGCAACCGTCCATTGAAACTGACAACGTCATGTAAGCCAAATGTCAAGAGTTGCTGGATTACTGCTTTCATTTCAGAGTTTCGAAAAATTAACTCAGAGGAACGTAGTAGGGAAGATTGAGCAGTGGGCACAATTGACAGAGGATGAGAAAGAAAGGAACAAACCAGCAGGAGAGAAACGAACCAGTAAAAAGGCAGAGATGACAGGCTGGTAGTAAATGAGTGTTGGTAGGTATTCAACTGCAGGAGGGTTGGGGAGGATCACAGCTAAGTTTCCTCGTCTGTGCGGTTAACTGATTTCAACCACGTTGATAGTAGAATTGCTACAATTAAATCAGTGCCCTGGGCACTGCCAGGTTATTTCCAGGCAGGTCAGGGCGAAACCTTGGGCAAGTTTCCTTACTCCACACGCCTAATAATAATCCCTCCAAAAAACCAAAAACAATAATTAAATTGGTCATTTTCAATCTACGACTGTTTGTGGGACATTGCTGTGCGCAATTGGCTGCCGCGTTCGCCCACAAATATACAGTCAATTCACTTTACAGTGTGTTCTGTGAAGCGCTTTGGGACGTCCTCCCGACGTGAAAAGTGCTATATCAAATGCAAGGATTATTATTATATTATTATTTATAATTAAGAGTTGTCCATTTTTAATTTTTAAAAATGTTGTAGTTTTTGATGAATAATATCGATGTTTAATTTACCTTTCAGATTTTTGGCGATCCTTTTGAATACAAAATGGCCATTGTAAGGTCGCCGTGCACATTACTTCCTGAGCGCTATACAGTACACACGTTGTAGCTTCTGCCACTTTACCAACAATTTCAAAGCTGTTAGTAAAGAAATCCTTGTGAATGGCAAAATGAATGCACAATTCTTACCATTTAAATCTCCAACATAGCAGTAAACATCATACATCTCACTGGGGTCCCTTATTCCATATGTTCGAACACCAGGACGTCCCTTTTTATCAGCATAGCAGCCAGGTCTCGGTTTGGTGATCGGGTACCTGAGAAAGGAAGATAAATCATTATGTGGTACTGTCAGAGATTACTCAGCAAAGAAATGATCAATGGCCTTAATCAATAAGACAAAAAGGATGGGTACATAATCTCCTGAAGTCATTAAATGTCCTATATTGTCTCACTAGGGCAGTGGATCATTAAACCACCTTTCAGCAGTTTGATGTACCCACAGTTGCCTTTCATTGAGTCTTCAACCTTGCTAGGACATCCTAGAGAGACAGTAAGTGTAGATTAGGAATCTCCCCACAAAGTAAGAGTAAGTTACCCTCCATTGGTCTCTCACACAGCCTCAGATAGCTATTAATAGAAGCATCAAATGAACAATTAACATTGTTGTTGCGTATGTCCATAGCTAAGAAATATTAATGTTTGCAAGTAAAACTGAGGAATTCCAAATCCTTTAACGGCTACAAATACAGTGGAAAGTGAACTTCAATGCGTCAATAAAACAGGAAATAAATTGGCACCCACTCAGAATCAATGCATAGATTCGTTTATCACACCTACAGGTGCTCTCAAAGTGTCTTTCCAAATGTATTTTTCTAGTCTTGCTCACTGTTTTTTACACCAATTTTTCTCCACCAGTTTTCTCCCCTTGTTGTCTGAAAGTCATTTACTTCGACTCTTTTCAGCTGGGTGCAGTTTCAAAGATGCCAGTGCCCTCCAGTGCCTCACCCATTTGGTTATCATTCGTGGGCCAATCTTGATGGTGATTGTTGACTGTTTGACGTGGAGGCTGCTTCTGCCTTAACCTGCCACCCACACATGCACATTTTCCAGCAGGGATTTCTGATCAGAATTGGGAGCCCTGACTCATTTCCCACTGCCTCAACCAGAGGCCAATTGTAATACCCCTACCTACCTGCCCGTACCCTCCGTTCCTCTGGTTCTGGTCTGCTCCACATCCCCCGCCCCAACCGCCCTACCATCGGTGGCCGGGCCTTCAGCCTCTCAGCCCCTAGGCTCTGGAACTCTATTCCCCCAGTGCCTTCGCCGCCTCCTCCCTTTCCTCCTTCAAGGCCGGTCTCAAGACCTTTCTCTTTGACCGTGCCTTCAGCTCCCCTCTCGACTCTCTACCCCCTCCTCGCTCCCTCCCTTCCCTCCCCTCACCCTGACCATTTCCCCACTGCTTGGGTCCTGACCCAACTGTACAGCGCCTTGGGACGTCCTCCCGACGTGAAAGGCGCTCTATAAATGGAATCTTGTTGTTGTTATACTAATGACTTTGAAACTAAATATCTCAGCGCAGATGCCTACGGTATTCAAATCGAAGTTTTAACTGAACAGTGCCTTTATCCAACTGGTCAGCAGGGAACTAAATCAACAATAAAGGTGGAATGTTACTCAGCCCCTTACCTGACGCTTTGATCAGAAAGCCAGCCAGCGTCACACTGGTCAAACCCATCTTCATATGCAGCCTGAATCTGTTCAGGGCTGGCAATGGTTGCACTGTTCAACTCACAAGCCCGCTTGGCTACCTCGAAGTTCAGGGAGTACCTGCTAAGTCCTGACCGATAGTGGAATACTACCCCTGTGGATGGAAAGTCACTTGTGAAAAATTACATTGAAAGGAATACAATTCTTTGCCTTCTACCATTCCAGATTTTACCCATCCTCTCCCAATCCCGGATGCAAACACTCAACTAACCAGCACCTTAGGACATCCTCCCGACATGTAAAGCGCTGTATAAATATAAATTTGTGTTGCGTTGCACTGACTCGCTCTGAGGTTGGGGTTCCATGGGTCTTTGTTGTTGTTGTGTTGTCTTTGGTGACATTCTTGGCCATAGAAGATTGATATTGATATCTTGATGGTCTGGCTCCTGAGCCAGGCGATTTCACAGTTCTCCAGGGCACTGCTGATGACAGACCAGCCAGCCTGAATAATCAGTAAGACTTGGAAGGGCAGCCACTGGGGGCAGGGATTCTTTCTACCCGGCTCCTGGTAACGGTGCAACCCAAAGCCCTAGCAGGTAGGGTGATCCTAGCCGGACAAGCAGCGGGAAGCTTGTCAGACAGTGCTTTCAATGGCAAGCCAAGTGAATTTAACTGGTTAGACTCCTACAGCACCCGAATGCACACTCTGGGGCCCCCAAGATTTGGCTCTTATTCTCTGGAATTAAATAAGCAGGATGTGTACCTCCAGGGAGAGGGAGACTCTTACGTAGATAGATACCTGGCTTACCAAAAAATATGCCTGGCCCAAATGACCTTTCATGGAGTTTGAGCCAAGACAATGATTGTCAGCAGGCTACGCAAGCATGAAAAGCATTGCAGACAAGTCCAATCCTGTCCGCACCCAACATCCACAAACATGGACCAGCCTGTAAGGGTCACTGCATACTGATCAGGTAGGAATTCTGACCGATTTGTTTTCTTCTGCTTTGCCTGGAGATACTGGGACTCTTTGTGGTGCCCCAACGCTACTCTCGCTCAAATCAGCTATTTTAACTTAGACGTGTGCTTTCCCAGTTTGTGTAGTTCAGCACCACGTAATGCATTTACTCACTTGGCAGCAAAGGGGCAACGGTGAAATTTGCCTTCGTACGAAATTTACAGCATCTTTCAGAAAGACACTGATGAAAGGGCCTTTAAAGAGGGTGCTCTTATCATTACAAGGCTGAAGCCAGATAGCATGCAACAAGAGCATAAGAACATAAGAATTAGGAGCAGGAGTAGGCCATTCGGCCCCTCGAGCCTGGCCCGCCATTTGATAAGACCATGGCTGATCTTCAGACCTAACTCTAATTACCTGCCCTATCCCCATATCCCCTAATCCCTCTATTTTTTTAAAAATCTATCAGTCTAAAAGTAAATGTATGTAACAGGCAAGGAATCTCAAAGCAAGTGGGAGACCTTCCTACCAGCCTGAAACAAACCAACTGTGGGCTGGGCCATTAATCACAAGGAGGAGGAGGTGGGGAAACAGCTGACTAGGATCTCAGTGGGGAGGGAGTCACTAACTGAAATCCAATCGAAGAAGCTTAGTTTAAAGTTTGTAACCCACACTGCATCTAAAACATTCCAAAAATGCTCAAAGTTCTCCTTGCAGCTCGTTAATGTATTTTTTTCATTAGAATATGGTACCTGGGCTCTAAAACAACAATTTTACATTTATTTGATGTTTTTTCACATCAGGAAGATGTCTCAAAGCTCTTCACAGTATTTAATAGCACTTTATGTAGATTTGATTTTGCATCAAGTTGAATAACAGTAGACAAGTGACAGGAAATTATCAGGAGAGACTAGTGTAGCTAGGATTATTCTCCTTGGAGCCGAGAAGGTTAAGAGGAACCTTGATAGAAGTTTTCAAAATTATGAGGGGATTCGATAGGGTGAAAAATAAGAAACTATTTCCACTGGCAGGTGCGTTGGTAACTCGAGAACACCAATTTAAAATAGTTGTTAAAAGAAACAGGGGAGGTGAGGAGAATTTTTTCCACAGAGCGAATTGTTCGGATCTGGAATGTATTGCCTGAAAGGGTGGTGGAAGCCAATTCGATAACAACTTTTAAGAGAGAAGTACGTAATTATTTGGGGAGGATAAGTTTGCAGGGCAGAGAAAGCGAGGGAGTGGGATTGATTTGGATATTCTTTTCAAAGAGCCAGCACAGAAACTATGAGCCAAATGGCGTCCTTCTGTGCTGTACATTGCGTTCGGAAACTTAACACAATGTTGGAAGACTACAGTACAAATAAGATTTTTGTTTCTTACTTCACTGCATTAACTGTTTAAACGAATCAAAATGCCTCAATGTTTGAGTACTAAAGAGTTGAGAGTATAACGTTCCCCCTAAAAAAACTGAGCTCAACCTCATACGACTACTTGTTATTTACCACATACTGCGACTATTTCTGCTTGTGACCAGTGTTTGGTTGTCGCGACATCCACACAACTGATCACGTGCAGTGTCCTAGAGGCTCAAGGCCTGAGTCAACCCTAAACAAGTGTGGTCCAGTCTCGAGCCGTGAGGCTTCTGAACAGCAAGTCCGAGAATCCAGTACACAGGTGACCGTTATATGGTTGAGGTTCAGTTTTTTTTAAAGGGGACGCGATACTCTTAGTCCTCAAATCTTGAGACATTTTTAATCATTTGAAACAGCAGTGAAGATGTAAGAAACAAAAGCATATGAACACAATGTACTTCCTGCCTCTTGTCTACTGTTACTGGACTGGACTCAAAATCTAATTTACGTAATGTGAAGAGTAAATGACGCCTCCGCAGTATGTCGCTGCACACATCGGAAACGTCACCTACCTCATATTATAAACTAATATTGATAACAGTTTTCCAGAAAGAGGAGGCAGAATCCTATAAATGGTAGATATATAATGTTAGTACCAAGCGGCTGCAAATGTGCAACAGTAACATAAGCACAATTGTACAACTCTGTGAATCATTTAAAACACATTAAAGCAATTGTAGAATCAGCTAAGTATTTTATATAGTGGCTGACTCTTCCCTCTGCTAGAGGGAAACAAAATAAAGGGATATTTGATTTTGTCTGTAATACCATTGCATTCCTTTCAAAAAGAATTGTTTTCTTTAGCAAATGGTTAGCTGGGCACCGGTGGTGGGAGAGCTCTATGTTCCAGCTGCAATTCTGCATTATGTCTATCAATTCTCAACTGGGTCAATAAGTGTTAGCTAGAGCGCAGCATTGATGGTGATTGATGTGTGTGGCCTGGACCAGCCCAGTCTTTCAGCCTGAATAACGGCACAATTAGGTAGGAATCCCCATGAGATAAAAAGAAATTGAAAAAATAAATTAAATTAAAGAAAACCTTTCTTTTAAGGCAATTTATTGGAACAGTAATCTGGTTCATGTGTGAATCACACAGGTATAGAATTACACTGGTGCCAGATTGCCTTAAAACTATTCATCAAACATTATCTCATATTAGGGGCAAATGTCTGGTTTCAAGGAGTTCCACCGCTGAAGTCCTTAAATGGTAGGTACTAATGAAGTTAAAGCATAATTTCAACATTTTGAGTTAGAGGCTGGTGCCTGGGCACCACTAGAATACCAGAGATTTTTGATCTATTCTCTACTGTGCAAAACAGAGCTGCCATTGAATCAGTCGCCTAAGATTATTTCGGATTGAATAATCTTTGTACATTGATATAGCACCTTTAATGTCAGGATGCCATCACAAGGACAGTGCTTCTTCTCAGTATACACTGTGACATGTAGCTACTGTGTGTTTTGAAGGCAAACTTTACAAACTTACCAGTGACATCTAATTGGACAATGTCCTGCTCGTCTTCAATGCCAACCATTACCTCACAGCGGTAAAGGCCAGTATCGCTTGCTCGCAGTCGGCAGATAGTCAGTGTGGCGTCATTCAGACTCTCAGGGTGCTTGGGTACTGCTACTCTACCATCATAGCCAGCGACAATTTTTATCACACCATTTTGTGCCACCAGAATCGTGGTTTCTTTCTGGTCTTTCCCGTCTTTGTCGACTTCTATTTTTGTCCACTTGATCCGTGGGAACTCTTGCAAGGAGTGGTTGGAGGGTGACGGGGCAATGGTATAGTGACAAGGGAGAGAAACAAAACTAGAAAGGGACCCTTTCACAAGGGAGACTTCCTTAACCACCATGCTCATCAACTTCTCATTGTCATGAGCTAGAGGACAAAATAAAAGAGAAATAGTGTTAATTCGGATGGATTTACAGAAACATTCCTTACTAAGCTTTTCATACTGTCAATTTCATTTTGTCCCTGATTCTTCTGGAAATATGGATCTAATAGTGGTCCTGTCTATTTGCCCCCGGCCAAAACAAATCATTACTATTCATTGAACTTTTATAGTCAAAGGTCCACAGGCAACATTTATTTTCATAATATTATATGAAATATAATATATGTAATACAACAACAATATAGTATATGTAATAAAAGGAAAGCACAAAGCCATCATAACTATCAGCAGAATAGCTGATTAAGAAATATATGGTCATTGCACCTGATAATCTAAGTATGTTATGTACAGAGCAATCGATGAGTAAAGTGAGCATGAAATGGGATTAAATTTAAAATGAAAATTATACAAAAATTTAGTAGCTACTAGTCAGTTAATAAACAATCGATATGAACATTTCAAAGTTTTATACAAAGAGACTGTGCTTATTAACACAATTGCACATTGAAGACTTTTGTGTGTTTATTACTTTTGCTTTTTACTTTTCATTAAATACCCAGATAATGCAGAATGATAGCCTTGCCTTTTTATTGAGGGTAAAGCTAAATACTCTTTAAAATTGGTATGAATCAATCTACACAAAGCTTCCATCCTTTTTCGAGCAACTCACAATGCTCATTCCCATATAATGATCATGAAACTTTAAACTGTAAAGAGCTTCCTTATTCATTTTAATGCTTCTTGGATCCTGACCAACATCTTGTCAAAATGAGGGATATTGTTCCTGTTTGATACAATATATGTAATATATATAACTACAAATCACTTTTTGTTTGCTCCATTTCAGTGAAATTTAACAGTAAGCATCTTGGGTTTAGTAAATCAGAGACAATCCAGTTAGAGAGAATAATATTAATGTCTATGAACTCTACTAACCTCAGAAATATCTAACAGGTCTGACAATTAACACTTTCACTTCAATCTGCTTCCATTTGGATTATGAATACTGATGAGCACCTTTTGACCAAATGTCTTAATCAAACCACATGGGGAGCTTTCTTCAATTACAAAGATTAGCAAAACATGGTTTGACCTTACTACGTTTAACATCCGACCATTTTAAAGAATGTTAAAATTTGGGACACTAACAATTGTTTTGCTCTGGTTTAAACGAAGAAGGAGATTGAAGAAGACAGGCAGCAGGAAATTCCACATTGAGTGTGTACAGAGTTTCTAAAATCTGAGGTCCAAGCTGTTCAATTCCTCAGTAATAATAATAATTCTTGCATTTGATATAGTACTTTATCATGTCTTCCAGATGTCTCAAAGTGCTTGACAGAATATACTGTAAGTTGAATTGACTGTATATTTTGTGGACGAAATGCAGAAGCCAATTGCGCACAGCAGTGTCCCACAAACAGTCATGCATTGAAGTGACCAATTTATTATTATTATTCTTTTGAAGGATAACAGTTGCACTATTGTTCAGCAGGGGAAAGGATGGCTCCATGTGAATTTGTTCAGTCCTGCGCTATTTACAGGACCCTGAATCCCGGGCGATTTCAGTAAATGAAAAGAGACAAGGACTGAGTCAGCTGTTTTTTGCATCATTTAAGAGCTGAAATAGTTGTCCAGTGCCCCAGCACCGTTTTTTTGAATTTTTTTTTGGAAAAAATGATTTTAAAGCAGATTTATACAACGTGGAGTCCTGCCAAAACCTCAAATTTCACATTTCTGCAAGATCAACAGTACTGCATGAATGTGATGTAAGAAAATACATCAACAATGCAAAACATGTTGCACGAGTGGGGCTCAGAGCCAGAAATCTGGGTTAGACCAGGTAGGAAAATGTTTCTATGCTCAACTACTGATGAATTCTCTGCATTAAAGCTAGAAAAATCACTCCATTTCTGACCTGATATAGTAGCCCATTGTACAATATTATAAAACACCATCAAGATTACAATAAAAGCTGTACAATGGGGCTTTAATGAGACTTAATCTGTTCCACATTGCTCTGAGCGTCATGGTTATTGGTCTTCAAAGATTTTTGCCTCTGGTTTACTGGTGACCTTAATAGATACTCTTTTACTTTTGTGTATTATTGGAGGAAAAAATCCTTTAATTCTCAAAAAGACATAACTTCTTTTGAATTTGAATCAGTTGGTTTGCATGCATGTATTCTAATATGAACATCAAAAAAGTAAAATGTAAGCAGATATGGTTGATATGTACATCTAACATTGCACAGAACAGAAAAAAGAATTTAAAAGGGCTGAATGTGGGACAACAGATGGAATATTTTTCAACATGGCAAATCTATCAAGAGTTTGAAGAGAGTCAGGCAAAACAAAAGTAGGCAGCCAGCCTGGCTCAGCGTTTGCACTTTGCCTCAGAGTCAGAAGGTTGTGGGTTTAAACTCCATATCAGGACTTGAAATCACGCAATCTAAGGTAACCACTCCAGTGCTGTGCTGGGGTAAGGGAGGGTTGCATTGTTGGGAGGTGCTGTCCTTCAGATGAAATGTTAAACCGAGGTCCCATCTGCCTGTTCGGGTGGACATTAAAGGCCCTATGGTGCTATTCAAAAAGAGAAGGGAATTTTTCCCAGTGTCCTGGCCAACAATCTCCCAAATAAAATTGGTCACTCATCCATGGCTGTTTGTGGGACATTGCTGTGCACAACTGGCTGCCGCGTTTCACCCACAAAATCTGCAGACAATCCACTTTATACTCTATCCTGTGAAGCACTTTGAGATGTCTCAGTGATGTGATAAGGCAGTATATCAAATGCAAGGATTATTATTATTATTTTAATTGTAATGGGGAGCGGTCAGTTAGTTTATACTTTTGTTGTAAAGGGGTTCAATTATGCACTATTTCTTAATGGATTCATTCTCATATCGGGCAGCACCATGCATAACACTCCAACTTGAGGCAACCCTACTCCAAAATAGACAGTATTGGAATTGCTTTATTTCAATTGGGCATCACAGACTTCAGTATTTTTTAATTAAGAAATCTGTTAAAAAATACCACAAAATTGTCTCTGAATTTCTTCTGAAAAGTATTTTCCATATTATACTTCTCCCTCCTAGATAGATGGTCTTTAATACGTATTGCTATATCAATTGCAAGGATATTATTGATTTAATTTTATTTAATATTATTGATATTAAATAATATTTTCTATCATATTAAATATTATCATATTAAATAATATAAAAATCCTTACATTTGATATACAGCCTTATCACATCATCAAAACGTTTCAAAGCACTTCACAGGATTTACTGTAAAACGGAGTGACGTGTATTTTGTAGGCAAACATGACAGCCAATTTGCACACAGCAAATTGCACAGCAATGTGTGCAAATACTAACTCTCAGTAACCAACTTTATCTGGGGGATTGTTGGCCAAGCCACCAAGCCACTCCCTTCTCTTTTCAAGAAGTGCAACAGGATTTTTAACATCGGACACAATCAGAACTTCAATGTAACGTCATTAGAAGGACTCAACAAACTTCTGACTATGAGACAAAAGTCCTATTAACTGAACCAGGCTGATACAATATATTGGGTTCAACATTGTTCAGGTTTAAAGACTCTGGTGCTCAGTAAAATGGAACCTAAATATCCCAGAATTAGCACCTACATCAATAAATTCCTTTCAAAGGTGTCGAGTTGATACATGTGATAAACTGATTTTCAATCAATTATAATGAAGCCAAAAAATGGAATACAGTAAAGCAAAAATTATTCTTAGTAAATTCTGCAGCAATCTAATGAATTAATAAAATCCAATCAAAGATGGCAAGTTACTATTTTGGTAATTTGACTTTAACTGAATACCAGTTAAGTAAAACAGTAAATGACAAAGTGCAAATATTGTTTTCCAATGGTCTATAATTTAAAAAAAAGAATCACTCCAGACATCAAACTAACATTCAGAGTTCTAGATCAGAAAGGATCCTTGAATTTGTGTGGCCTTACCTGAGTACACTGAATATGCTAGCATCAAGGTGGAATACATCCACAGGATATGTCTTAAATGTAATATCATTTTGACCTAAAAGAGAAAAAAGATACACATCAATGTAAGATGAATTCCCATCTGCAAGTAAAGCAAACCCCACAGTAACACATATTAGACAAATTCTGCTCATCGTTAAAAAGCTACTTAATCCTGTCCGTAAGAGTTAACACTGAAATGTGACAACTGCTTTCGAGGAACAAAGAGCTATAGGGAGAGCGCTCACACTGCACTGCCAACTTCAAGGCACCAAACTGTAAAATAAGTTTAACACTGTTTGGTCACAGAAAACAAGGAGGCAATGCTACAGAGTCCAAACTAAATCAAGACCTGCTAGAGGTGTGAAACAGTTGAATACACTTGAACACCACTCTAATAAAGCAGCCAGATAAGGTCTATTCATTTGCTCTGTGGGCCTTTACATGAGGTATGTTACTATGGGCCCCCAATATAGCTGAGCGAATCCTCATTCATTTACAATTGATTTGAATACTGAGAGCTAGTTGGCTGGAAGCTGTAAGAAGTGAGTGCAGCTGAACTTCAGTGAGGGAAATCCTTACAGAGCAGACATGATGTCACACGGCACTGAATCATGCATGGGTCACGGAGGGAGTGGGATGTACAAGCAGCAAGTTCATTGGAAAAATGAAAAAAAGGTTTTGAAAGATAAAGAGATGAAACATATACAAAGAAAATGTTTCAGAGTTTTGATTCCAGAGCAACAAAGGTTTCTGTACAATCTTGCCAAGGTGAAGACTATAAAAGGTGATTGATGGACTTGACCTTCATTTGTAGCCAGTCTCGTCTCAGTTTGACAAGACACAGATGGATCTTTTATTCTTCAATGCAAATATCACAAAGAGAGGTGGCCTCTTCAAGTTCTAGCTAAACATTTCAGGGTTTATTTCCACTCAAGCCAAACAGTATAAACAGGAAACACACCCAATTTCAGCTAAATAATATTAAATGAGTACTCCATCCAATACTGCAAAAAAAATGGGGAAATCTAATTGAAAACATGTCTTATAGGAGTATCAAAGAATAGAGTCAGAAGTTAAACTGAAATTGTTACAGCCGAGTATGATTTTTTTTATTGTTGCTGGAATTAGCTAAAGTTCCCCTGAGGTTACAGCCCCTAATTGGTGAGAACTCAGCAGCATATCATGTGCCACTTTCACTGACATCACCTCCATGCTAGAATCAGGCAAATGTTTAACAGGTTTATCTTGCATTTTGTTGCATACAAGATATACTGACAGCAAAGCACGGACCCTCATGGGAACACTAAGGGGATTTATAGGAGAAATCAAAATGACAAACACTGTCCTCATCTCAAGTGGTGTTCAGAAACCTAACAGATCCATTGTGCTTTTCAATGTTATTATAGCATAATATTGATGCTATGTGTACTAAAGTATAGCAAACTTGTCACCGTGCACTTGTAAGAACAATAGGCAAACAGCGCAGAATAAACCTGTGCTGGAAAGTTATTTTAATTTAAAAATGAGTATTTTGAAAGTTTCATCTTTAAATTATTGTGGAAAATGGACAGGGAAACAAACCTCAACAGCCACAATGTCAAGGGGGTACAATCATCCAGCTGAGCAGATAGATTGAATTATATGCTTTCCGGACTATTCTGCTCTGTGACAAACCATATTGTGAAAGCAGCTATACACTTTGCACTGCACAATTCATGTTGAAAAAAATGCATGCAACTTGTTGCATATTTTAAGCCTATTGGCAGTTTCTTTGAACCCTTGGGAGAATTCTGATTACTTTCATGGATCAGTTTGAAGAATAAAGTTCAGTCTACTTTTCTTATCTCAGTATTGCTACTTAACGACCATTCAGAATGCTGCAGCCCATGTGCTCTCTTGACCAGGCTTCACAAACCCATCACTCACATCCACAATTATTACCATCCTTGCTCAGTTCCACTGGCTCTCCAACCACCAACAGATCAAATTCAAGATACTCATCCTCACTTTCAAATGCCTCCACAACCTCATCCCATTCTATCTCTGCAAACTCCTGTGAATTTTCTGCACTGCACCACTATCGACAGTTGGGCCTTCAGCCTTTCTGCCCCCACCTTCTGGAACTCCATCTTGCCTTGTTCAAGACCTGTCTCAAAACCTTCCTCTTTAACCGTCCCTTTGATCATCCTCCCACCCCACCCCCTTGCCCTCCACACCACTTGTTTCCAACTCCCAGCTCGAGTGCAAACCCTTGACTGTCCAGTGCCTTGGGACATCCTCCCGATGTGAAATGTAATTTGCTGCTGCTGTTGTTTGTTGTTACACCAGCTACTCTCTTTGCTCAGCAAACTCTGGCCTGCTCCGTATCACCTATGCTACCTGCCCACTATCACCATTCTGTCCCCACCTCTCTAGAACTCTACCAGTCACTCCACCTTGTCCCCTCCCTGCTTCAAAACCAAGCATAAGTCCGATCTTTTTGTCCACTCTTTCAGCCATCTTCCAACCCCCCCACCCTCCCCCACCACGACCAGCTTCCCTCGCTCAAAGTCAGCTGTGTGAAGCAATTTGAGACGTCCTTCCGACCAGAAAGATTCTATATCAATATAAACTTTTGTTGAGTGAAGAAACGCAATGTTTTACTTCATAGATAATACTTATTTATATCACCATTGGAAGTAACTCCCCACTTGCCATCACAGCTACCCATCAGAGATTAATTTTATTTAAAGGGTTATTAATGGCAGCATTTATCCTATTGTGTCATTTTCCAGCTTCATGTGAAAAAAGCGAAGAATTCCTTAAAGCTGGCACTAATTATGAGACACACTGGAATGTACATGTGACACCATGCTTAGTATTTGATAGTGTTATTGAAATACTTCACAGCTGTACTAGATTATGTAAAATCAAAGATGGAACTGAAATCTTCAGCTTCCCATCAGTTTTCTTACATTAAATAAGACCCAAGATTTCTCCCAGTCCTAATCTTAGGACCACTCTTTTGAAAGTTAAGCTTTAAGCAACATTTTGAAAAAATCTGAAATTCAAGTCTTCATAGTCAGTTTTCTTTAGGTCTTTTTTAACTAAAGAAAACTGGCTTCCAAATTAGAGTGAGTGAGACAACAACTTGCATGTCAATATCTCTCTCTTTACACAGAATAGTGCCTTGCAGCGCTGTAGAGTGGTGCGTTTGGACACCAAATGAAGTGGGAGGGTGGGGGGTGACCATAGGTGTGGTCAAAAGAGATAAGTCAAGGTGGAATTTAAAGATAGATAAAGAGTGGGGGGGTGGGGGGGGAGGCAGAATTTGAGGCTGGGACTTCAAAGGTTAGAGGCATAGAAGGAAGTGGAAAGAAATTCTTGTGGCTTCTGACCAGCATGCATAACATAATTGATCAATATTCAGTGTACATCTGGGTCAATAGAGATTGGAATACATTGCTAAGCTGGTCTTCAATGTGCATACAGAGACCCCCGATTAGTGAATGATCCAAACTCACTTTAGAAATTTACGTCAGTCACCTGTTTCATTCAGTGGTGTAGTGCGGAGTATAACCTTTGGATTGTTCAGACGTTGGAAGTAACATGCCTCTTGATGTCCTATAGATTTGTGAGGAGTTGAAGATCTTGTACCGGACTTGTTTCACAATGAAGGAGAAATATCCACTACAGGGTGAACCCAAGCACTGAAAGTCTTTATGATTATTTTACAGAGGAGGCCATGTTATCAAGGTCCAACACAGGAGAAAAATTAACATAGGAGCACATTAAACGTTCACCATTTGTAATTTATCCAAAGCCCTTAGTATATCTGTACAAAAAGAAACACGGGACCATGAGAGGAATAAGAAAGGAACAGTAGTTTGACCTCTGAACTTCCACCAAGATATAATGGAAAGTTTATTTGTGATACCATGCCATTGACAGTGTTGTGTGAGTTCATTCCCGAGTGTGAAAGGCTCGAAAGTCACGCACGCAACAGGCACTCATGAATTATGATGCTCTTTTACACGTGTGAAAGACTTGGACACAATAGCAGCATGTCTTATTTATTATATGGCTGGGATGTGAAAGGCAGTCTGGAGCACTTCACATGATGCAGAGGACTAAGTGATTACTAACTTCAGTCAGCTGTCATTCCCACTCTCATTTGCAGTTGTTATCATACCCTGTGATGGGAGATTATCAGTAGCACAAACATAACTGCAATAAAAAATAACTGCAATAAATATATAAACCTTCTGTTGCTTCAGTGGTACTTAAATGGCTGTTGATACAGTGTTTTTGAAATGTTTACGATTCGTACTCCTTAGGGCAGTACGATAGTTCAAATTATTGCCAAGCTCTAAAACACTGCACTATGTAACACAACATGGTACATATCTACTATATGCGTCTGAAAGAGCGAACAATATAATCACAGTAGGAAAGATTTGCTTCCATTACAGAGTCTTTCACATGTGTAAAAAACGATTCTTCACAAGTGAGAATGAAGAAAGCCTATCAGCTAATTTGATCTCATTGTTTCAGAATACTAACCTTACTATCATTTCAGCACTATGAATGCCAATACACATTGGTGGACATGTGTATTGATTACTGGATCCACATCACTGGAAATGATCAATGCATTTCATCGAACCACAGAAAAAATGCTAATCTCTTTCATTCCCATCAACTGAATTCTTCACCAAACAGTTACATTTCTTCTTCAATTTGCTGACAAAAGCTGTTCCTTAAATGAATTCAGTCATGTGGCCTCAACTACACTTTACCCTCCTAAGTAATCTACACCAAGTGGGTAAAGAAATATTTCCTGGTCTGACTTAAACCTGTCCTTCAGAATGCTAAACATGTATTTTTCTCCTACTGTCTTGGCACATCTAAAAATATTGTTTTATGTTTCCTTTTTCTATCCTATTAAGCATCTTATGCAATGTCCTCTCTAAGTTTGCACTTTTCAAGGCTGAAGAATCCTAACATCCATTCATCCATCACAACTCATCTTTGTAATACTGGGGAATCAATCTCACTGCATTAATATAATGGTCT